AAGGCGGAAGCCTAGGTAGCCCCAGACCAGAGCACACCAGATCCGGGTTCCTTCGTGACCCGGCACTGCCGCACCAGAAGTAGCACCAGTGGGTGGCTGTAACAAGCCGACATTCGTTCTCTGGCAGCTCAGGAGGCTGAAGTTGGAATTCAGATGTCCGCTCCAGGAGTGGGCTTTCTCTGCCCGCTCTGGAGAATGGCCCTGTCTCCTTTCAGCAGCTGCAGGCCTGCCATCGCATGGAGATCCTCAGGGAATGTGCCTTGACATCAGTCTTCCCCTGGTTCTAGGACTTTCTCAGGGCAGGAACCCCAGGCCCCAAGGACACCTCCACTCCCTCTCTCTTCTTTCTTGGTGCTACAGGCCTTCAGCTCTGCTTGCTTCTCGCTCTTTCTCTCAAGACCAAAGGTCTAGTAGGCCACACATCCCAGGGGAGCGCTCCTTATATCTGATCTGGGCTGTGACGTTGCATCCTCCACTCTTAAACCTTTTACAAGGGATGGATTTATCACGTCAGATGGTATCGTGGGGGATATGACCTAATTGCCACACCACATTACATGACTGCCAAAGGAGAGAAGTGTGGTCATGTTGGGGCATGTTTGGGGAGGGGCACACACAATTCAAACTGTGACACAGGGTTTGCCTTTTGGAATTCAAATCCACTCACCAGCCCGAGGACTGTGGGAGTTAGATTCTATGCCAAGTTGAACTTGTGTGAACGTGTAGCAGTGGAGCGCAGTCTGTCAATCAGATCAGTCAGGTGACAGCCTGGTGATGTCTCCTGGGACGTGTGGCCTTTACTTTAGAGAGACACTGGGGACCTTCACCTTCTTCCTCGCTGGAACATTCCTGGGAATCCATGTCTGCTTCCAGGGGTGCTCCCACGTGGGCCGCCCAACCCTGAGAGCTGTCAGCACCCTGCCATGTTTGTTTCCATGGATTGACCTGGGACCCAGGTGACTCTGCACTCACTGGCCTGCCATGCCCCTGCTGTACACCTTTGCATATCATCGGCCAGCAGCTATGTGAGCCTGAAGAGCTAGCATCCGACCTATGGACTTCAGTTGGACTGGGCTAGGAGGCTTTCTTGGGCCTAAACAACTTCTTGAGGTAACATTCACCTTAGAGCTATACGAGTGTCACTGATTTTGTTTCTCGAGACCGCACAGCCGAACGCGATGATGTTGGGTGAGTTCCTTAGTTACATGTTGCACATAGGGAGGCAAGAATAGAGCCTGCGTGATAGGCCAGGCTGAATGAGATCATTTATATAAAATATTTAGAAGAGCCCAGGCCATGTGGTGAACGTTCAGTGGTTACTATTGTTTTATTATTTTAGACTGAAAGGGAAAACAACAACCACAATAATAACTTGGATTCTCTGCTAAGCCTGCCAGTGCTGCTGCTGCTAGGATGGATTCCTGGGTCTCTTTTCTTCTCCAGAAAGCCTCCCAACAGCCCCGGGGCCCCTTCCCCTGGAATTCTGAAAAAAGAAGAAAAGCCCTGGAATTGAAAGGGAACATTTCCCACACAGAGAATAGAGAACAAGAGAGGACAAGTGGAGAGTGAAAATCCGTGCTTTGAAAAGGCAGATGAAAGCAGAAGGGGATCAAATCATAAGTGATTACTAAATGAAATGAGCACAAGGTGGGTGTTGCCATCACCCTTTGAAGTTGGCTTCAAGGATGGCGAGTAACCGTGGTCTTCTGCATATCCTCTAGTCTTTCTGTCAATGATCAGGAACGCTGGGCTTAATGAGCTGTGGCTCTGATGAGCTGTGGCACGTTTGATTCTTGTGTACTTGATCATCACATCTCACGATATTAAAACCCCCTGAAGCTCGAGAGATACTTAGGACTAATAAATCAAGATTGTAATATATTCTGGCTATATGATTGTAGTAGTTAAATGACTTTATGTCAACTGGACACTCCTGGCCAGGGGTGGAGTCAAACCTGTCAATCAAGTGGTAGCTTGATGATACCTCCTTGGGGGTGTGGCCCTTAGTATGAGAGTGAGGGGCTCCGAGAACTACCTCCTTCACTGCCACTTTGCCTTCTTGCCTGCTGAGATTCTGTTTGCCTCCAGCAGCAGCCTCATGTGGGCCACCTGACCCTGAAAACTGTAGGCACCCTGCCATGTGTCCACCAGCTTAGAATCCATGGGCCTCTGCACCCAGCAGCCTGTGATATTCCTGCATCCTGAATCACATTTCTGTGTTATCGGGCTGCAGCTACATGAATCTGAAGAGAGCCCCCTCTAGCACCAGACTTTAAAGTTGAGGGCTGGGGTGACTTCTTGATATCAAATTACTTCTTGATAGAAAGCTCTTTCTTATACATAGATGAGTGTCACTGGATTTGTTTCTCTAGACAACCTGGCCTAACACACTAGTCAACCACAGAATACTTTAAGGCTTATCTTGAATCTGTGTCAACACCCTTCTCAACGCGGTTTTGGGGAGCTACTACCCAAGGAGAGCAGGCACAGAACTTTAAACCCATTTTCAGGAAGACGAAGTTCACTAGAGCTTACTCAAGCAAGCCGGAGGGAGCTGAGGCAGACGGTTAATCCATGCCAAGGTCTTTCTCCTAGACACACAACTTGGATACATTTCTTAGCTCCTTTGCAGTCAGTGCAGGGGAAAGATGCAACGGTCTGGTCATGTAAAAGTTTAGCCACGGAAACCCTCTCTAGGGTCGCTACAAGTCAGAATCTACTTGATGGCTGTGGGTTGGTTGTATTTTTTCTGTGCTTTTTATTTATTCTTTTCCTTTTTTGAGGCTAATTGAGGTCACACAAATGAACTCTGGCCAGGGGAACCTTCCTCTCTCTCTCCCTATTAACTGAATGGAGAAGACACGGAAGAGGACAGTCTCCAGAGAGATGGGACTTGGGTTTCTGAGTGGCCCCCCCACCCCACACTCCACCCCATGGGCTGCTTTGGATGAGGGTTTGAAAAGGGCATCTATCCTGAGCCCTTTGGGACGTGGACAATGTTTCTCAGCAGTTGACTTTAGGTGGGCGACTCTACGTGGCTGCCCTGCTTTGCATTATCTTCTGGTGCTATTCCCAGAGGTCAGACTGGACTGGGAGAAGCTCCTCCCACATTTCTTACATGCCAATTTTAAGGACCTAACGAATGTGCATTAAACTAGACTTTTCTCCACCCACTCCCCTCTTTCCCCCCCCTCCCACAATGCCTTCCTATTTGGGAGAATTTCCTAATTGGGTGACTTTGGTGCGATCACAGGGGCTTAAGATTCAGCTCTTTATTTGTTCTCTCACCTGTAAACTAGAGTCCGCGCACCTGGCTCACCAATACTAAAGCCACACCCACTGCCGTTGAGTCAACGCAGACGCATGGCAACCTTATTCAGGGTTTCCAACAATGCGATCTTTCTGAGGGTAGACTGCTTCTTCTTTCCCCCCACAGAACCACGAGTGGGTTTGAACCACTGGCTTTGTGGTCAGCAGCCCAACACCTAACCCACGGCACTGCTAGAACTTCTTAGGCACGTGGCCTAGACGCTCCTAAATGCATGTTGTATCTGGGACATGAAAACTTGAGTCAATGAAGCAAGGACACGTATGGAATCAAACCTCTGAAGCCACAGACTGGGAGCCATTTGCCTCAGTTTCATACCTTCTTCCGAGCCTGGGATCCTCGGAGCTGCTAAATACCCCAACCAATGAACTCCTTTTTTGATTAGACCAGCGATTCTCAACCCGTGAGTCACGACCCCTTTGGGGGTCAAAAGACCCTTTCACAGGGGTCACCTAAAATCATCGGAAAGCACATAAATAGTTCACAATATATAATTACATATTGTTTTGTGATTAGTCACTATGCTTTACTTATGTCTAATTATGTTCAATTAATAACAATGACAATACATTCTGCATATCATATATTTACATGACAATTCATAACAGTAGCAAAATTAGTGATGAAGTAGCAACGAAAATAATTTTATGGTTGGGGGTCACCACCACGAGGAACTGTATGAAAGGGTGGTGGCATGAGGAAGGTTGAGAACCACTGAGTTAGATCCATTTGTGTGCTTGAGCCATGTATTCATGTATGGCTGTATACACACATACATATTCTACCAGCAACTAAGGCAATTTCCCTAAAATACAAATTTATGATCTATTCCAGTTTTAGAAGGGTCAACGCTTCTTCATTCCCTTCAGGACATAAATCCATATTTTCAAAGTGAACCCAAGTATCATGTTTAATTTTTCTGTCTCTCACTCCTCACTTCTACTTGTCTACCTTATGTTATTTTCTCTCTTGCTTGGCCTCTTGGAAAGTTCCCAGGTGGCCTGTTTCAGCTCAAGGATTCTATTATCCATGAAATAGATTTTTTTCTCTCCCCCAGCAAAAACTAATCTCTGCCATCGGGTTGATTCTGAAGCATAGGGGCTTTATAGGACAGGGTAGAGCTGCCTCTGTGGGTTTATGAGACTGTACTATTTTTTTTTTTGAGACTGCAAATTTCTACAGGAGCAAAAAGCCTCATCTTTCTCCTATAGAGCAGCTGGTGGTTTCACACTGCTGACTTTGTGATTAGCAGCCCGACTCGAAATCCACTATGCTACCAGCCCTCTGCGTTTGTACAATAACTCTTATTCTATATACTGTACTGCAGTTTTCACCTTTTTGTCCTTCTTGAGGACAGTGGCTGCCTAATCACCTATATATCACAACACCAAGGCTACTTCTTGGCACGTTAGGTAGGTGCTCACTGGGTGTTTCTTGACTGGCTGCATGACTGGATGGCATCTGTCAGGCTCTGGTGGGCTGAAGAATCTTTCAGAAGCTTCTGAAGTGTTGCAAGGTAGATTTGAACTACCAACCTTACAGTTAGCAGCTGAATGCTTAATCATCTATACCATGCCACGACAACAAGGAAGGGAGATTTTAGCCTTGAAGTCTGTGCACTCTTCCAGCCCTGAGCCACCCAAAGGTGCTTTAGAAAACAATGAGACACAGCCACCTTGAAGTAAAGTTTAATGCTTTAAATTTTAACTAGTGCACACAAAACACGTTTTACCAGTAGAAGGGAAATGTGCATGTGGTGTTGAAGAAAATAGGTACCACAAAACAAGACCATGTTAAGCTTAAAAGTAGAAGTAAACATTTAAGTCAAAACCAAATAAACAACATGCTAAGGGATATGATTTTTTTTAATAAATGTAGTTCTTACATCCAGCCTTGAGACATTTGAGGTTTATTTTGCCACTTAGAAAAAAATGCAGAATGCCCTTCATTTTTAAATGCATTAAAAAATGTTTGCACGTTGTTTTTCCTGCTGGCAACTGCAGTGTCATCAAGTATATAAAAGAAAACCAGGTGGGCTCCAATCTGCAGGTCACAGAGTGCCCCACCTGGTCTCCTGGTAAGTCCAGAGCTCAACTCAAGGACAAAACATAGGCCACTACAGACGGCCTTCCTAAGGTCAGCTCCGCGGGGCCTTAGAGTGAGTGCGGCAGAAAACCACTGAAGCGTAAGAGAAAACGAGAAGCAAAGCCTTTAGCACCTTATGTTTTCTAAGCACAGGAACTATTGGAAGGGAGAAATGGGTGAGACCCAGGGTGAGCTTTTCAGTAAGTCTCCAGTACAACTGCTCCAAGGGGCAGATGGCGCTATTGGTCGCGGTAAGGAAAAAAGACCGGACCTTCAGAATTCGCTCCAGGTTTGGCAGAGCCTTTCAAAAGATAAAGATTGGAGACTGAGTCAGACAATCCTTTCTGAGAAAGGATGAGATCATTAAGCAACACCATGACGGGGCAGGCTTCAAGGAGAAGTGCGGGGCTGGGGAAGGGAGGAGCTCTGCTTACTGCCTACCTAGCCACCTCCAAATGAGTTCTGAGGAAACAAAGCACTCAGCATGCTATGCTGGGCGCAGACTGCACTTCCCAGGTGGGACTCCCCACACCGCAGTGCGTCCTCCCCAGGCACTAGTGCCCAGCTTTGCAGAGCTGGGAGGATGCTGGAGGTCAGCAGATCACAAGGAGGCTGAGGAAAGCTCCCCGGTCATGATGGGTCAGAATGCTAACGGCACAAAAGGCATTTCTTTGCCAGTTAAGAGATGTGGCTCAGGAAGCCCAAGTCCAGCGCTCTCTTTTTTCACCCTGAACTTCACTGAGAAGAGGATCCCCTTGTGCCAGCTCATTAGACTGTCAGCTTGTCTGCTGCTGCTCATTGCGATACGAATTCAAGCCTGCCGGCCTCACAAACAAATATCAAAATCTCATCTAAAGCTTATCAATGGCCTGAGAAATGCAAAGACATCCACTAAATATTTGTGCAAATGGTTATTTCTCTTTTGAGAGCAGGTTACATTGCAAAAAGGAATCAAACCCTTGGGGGAGGGGGTGGGGAGGATTCTTTAGAAGGGGTTGGTTTCTATGTTCATTAAACAAACAAGGGGAGGCCTTGTCTGCAGTTTGCATTTAGCTCTAAAATGTGCTTCAGATTTTGAACTTCTACATAAATACTGGCAATTGGCATGAGGAGATGTGACTGGGTGCACATGTGGCCTCTGAGGACTCCCTATGCCAAGTTCCCAGTACACATTGGCCAGATGTCGCTGCACATTTCAAACACAATGATGCCACCTCTCCATCACTGATTTGGAATGCCAATCCCCTTGGTTAGTCTCCCAACCTTCAACCCTGTAAGAAGTTGCACCAAAATGTTAAACATCATTGGATTTGATGCTGACAAGCCAGGGACTAACAACTTCCTAAGGGCTGAATGAATCATTCAAAAAGAAGTGCTTAAGAAACCTTTGTACATGTATAATGTAAGTAATATAATTAGTTGCGAGTCGTGCAGTAAAAAAAAGTCTCTTTTGAACTTGAAAAGGGTGCACACATAGCTTCTGTCTCCGGGGCATGACTTCATAGCATTCATATCACATAGACTTGGGCTAGCGCCGCACCCTGGACAGTCCTAGGAACGCGCCACCTCTGTAATGCCCTCCATGCCAGGGACCGGTCACCACAGTGCTGGGGTTGCCCAGGTCAGCTCCGCTCTAGTTGGTGGGCGTCGAGGCCTCCGCCTTCCCCAGGGCTTTGTGGCTGAACAGCAGCTTTCGGAGGATGTTTGCATAGAACGGTCCATACACTTGCTTGTTGAGGTTCACAATGCTGGCGTACTGAGAGCCCAGCACCTCCAGCTCCTGCTGGATGACTGCCAGGCCCCCGGGAACTGGAGGCGGGCTTTTGGCAGGGCTTGGGAGAGAAAGGAGGCTCTTCAGGTATAGCTGGATTCGTTTATCTGAAGGAAAAGAGAGAGATGTCTTTATGCGTCCCCTGATTGGAGTGCAGACTCTTTCAAGATGAGAAGTCCTTGAGGTAGGCTGACTGCCTACCTCAAGAGGTACACTGTGCCCACCTCTTGCCTGCTCCTTGTACCCACACCCTTCACGAGGTGGCTACGTAGTAGCTCTTGCCACCAAGAGAGGGCGTCTGCTTCCCTGGCCTCATGACTTGCTTTGGCCAAGAGACTCTCTGGGAAGGGTTGCCGGGTCTGTTCTAAGTCTAGGTCTCAAGAGGCTCCTCTCTCTCTCCCTGTCGACACCCCGTGAACACGTCTGGGCCTGCTAGAGGATGAGAGGCCACGGGGAGGGGAGCCCAGATGCTCCCGTCAAGGCCATGCTCCCCCACTTTGTGCCAACCAGCTCCCCCACGAGGGACCCAGGTCAAGATCAGCAGAGCTACCAATCCAAACTTCAGCTGACCACAGATACCACAGTGAGCCCAGAAGGAACCAAAGAACAGCCACAACCTATGCCCATTGATTTGAGAACAAAGATGGATTATTTAAGTTTGAAAAAAAGAAATTGTGGTGAGAGTACACAGAACAAAGCAATCGCCAGCCCAACGCCCATGTTCTCAATGCAATGATGCTGAGCACGTTGGCTGGGTTGCGTCCCCATGGTCCTCCCTGCCCTGGGCCGTGAGTCAGCCTGGGCTTTTTCTCCATTTGCTTTGCTTCATGTAAGTGGGAGTATGCAGACTGGTCCCTCTGCAACTGGCTGACTTCACCCACGGGAGCCCGTGGCACCCAGCAAAAGTTCTTAGCTCTTCCCAGCGGTCTGCAGACACCGCATTCCGCTGGCCCGTTCCCCCGTGCAGGGGCCTCCAGGGGTCTCCTCCTCTGGCTCCTGTGAAGAGCGCTGCAGTGAACACGGGGCCTGGGCCTCTGTTGGCCTTGGTTGGTCGTGAGGACATGCCTGCTGCTTTCCACAGTGGATGCACCGTTGGCAGCTATTTTAAAAGGTCACCAGTCACAGGTGACTGACAGGGACATGGAGGGCACTCCAGGGTGGGGTGGAGTCGAGTCCTTCACAGAAGTCAGCAGGCCAGGCCCACAACTACGATGGCCACCACAGCTGAGTTCTCAGAGGGCACCTCATGTATTAGAAAATACCAGGAACTGCTTCAGTTCACGTGAAAATCCACATTTCTGGTTCCTCTGAGAAAGCTCAAGATCCGGTTCACTTACGCCGTAGCCATCGCCGTGGGGTCCATTCCGACTCACAGCGACCCTGTCAGACAGGGGACTCTCCCACAGGCGTTCCAAGGCTGGGACTCTTTCTAGGAGTAGACTGCCTCATCTTTCTCCTAAGGAGCAGCTGGTGGATTCGAACCGCCGACCTTGTGGTTAGCAGCTGAGCACTTAATCACTGTGCCACCAGGGCTCCTTGGGGCAGTCCTGTTGTTGTTGTTAGGCACTGTCGAGTCAGCTCTGACTCCGAGTGACCCTATGTCCAACAGAAGGGCACACTGCCCGGTCACGCGGCACCCTCGTGGGCAGCCTCAGTGTCCACATTGTCACAGGGCAAGGGTGCCCACATATCAAGTTCCTCCAGGACTGTCCCAGGTCATGTCTTGTCATCCTGGCATATCTCAAAAGACCACCCTCACAGGTCCCAGCCAGCACCCCAGTTTTCCACCTTTTCCCCAGCAGGTTGCACTGCTTTTAAAAGGGTCCGACTTGGAAACGACTGCACAAAAACATGTGGGGGCGCCAATAAATCAGCAGCAGGAGGGTTGGAGGAATTGCGCTGGCCACGGAAACAGAAGCCTCTGAGCCAACAGAAAGTCTCCTAAGGAGAATGCACTCCATGTGGACGCTCACAGCCACAGCATGAATGACACTCTGACCTCAAATCACTTCTCCCCAGGTTCCTACCAGACCTGCTGCAGAACGCACAGTTCCCAAATGGAGACATGCATGCCGTGCCTCTGGCTCAGAGCTGTGTCCTCCTGTTAGAGCCTCTCCCCCTTCCATTGCACAATGGCCAGAGTCCAGAGATGGCAGCAGGCACATTGCCGAGAGCCCTTTACTGTCACAGCCAAAGTCACTTCAATGCCAGGCCCTGCAGGGTGGCCTCCTTTTTGTGGCAGTCCCTAATATGGCACCACACTGCCACCCATCCAGTTGTCGCTGCAGAAGGCCTCTCCCCCCACTCTCCTGGGCACAGGGCTCTTTGGAGGCGAGGGCCATTCCTCGTGTTCATTCCTGGTCGGGCAGGTAGCAGGTCTGCCGCATAGGCTTACAGAACTTAAAAAGCAACTATACGAAGAAGAACCAAACCAGTCGGAGATAAATGCTGAATGTGTCCATAGAGGCGGGGCAGGGAGCCTGGGGCCTGGGGTAGGCAGTCAAAGGCACTCTAAGCCCTACCCCTACCTCTTGTAATTAAAAAAAATTTATTTTGAGCTAGGAAAAAATTCTCAGGTATTATTTGTACAACTGAGAATTAATTTTTCAAAGAGCAGATGGCTATCGGCATGTGACAAATCTACACAGCAGGTGATCTGTAATTCATTTTTATCTGGGTTTCCTCTTCATTTGAAAAAAAAAGGTTGGGAAGAAAACTCCCATTCTAATGATCTCTTTACAGGCTAGAAACGGGCAGAACTGTAGCCACACTGGTCAAAGAAGAACACTTCATCGAAGGACAAAAGCAGGTGGACTAGACTGGGCATCCTGAACGCAGGAGGAAGCCCGCCGCTCACCCTGCGTCTTCCTGAGCCCTTCAGGGACTTGGCTGCTGCTGCTCAGGCCTCCGCAGGCCAACACATAAGAGATAACTGTTCTTGTCTCTGAATTGTACCGTGACAGTCCTGTGCTATCCATTTTACCACAGCCCACTTTTAAAACTTAAGGATCAGGAGTTGACCCTGGAGCATATGTTCCGGGCACCTGCTTGCCTGACTCTCGTGGGCCACAGGTAGAGTCCAAACCCCTTCCTGCGAGGCTGTGTGAAGAAAAGCTCTGGGGCCTGTTGTCAGGCTGACTCCCTGGGGGATGAGTCCCCTCTGGGGCCAAGACTACAGTGGCAGAAGCACTTGTTCCCTTAGGAGCCGCCAAATGGAGTCTGAGTCTAAGGTGTGCCTTGGCTTTCACAATCATTGGAGTGGCTCACTTGAGGTTGCTATGACAACAACACTTGAATGAGGTTTTAAAAAATGCCTCCAATCTGCAAAGGGCAGAAAAGTTGGCCTCGGGAGAACTGGCACACAGAAACTACTTTACTGGGCTGGAAGAGGCTACCTTGGGGTGGGCACCTCCTGACTCCGCTTCTGACACTGCAAATACCTCCCTTATCTAAACTAAAGCCAGAACACAGATACACGCTGCCTCTCTGCCTGCCCTGCCAGTGGGCAGCCAGGCTCCAGCTCCCACGTCAATGCCAATCAGAGAATATGAGCTCTGGAGCCAGACAGACTGAGTAAAAATCCCAGCTCTGTCGCCAGTTGGTTATGCGATCTTGGGCAAGAATTACTTAACCTCTCTAACTCTTAGATGCCTCTCCTGTACAATGGAGATTCATGCATCCTACAAATATGTCTTAAAGGCCAGCGACAGGCCCAGAATCACATAGAAATCTGTTGCTTTAGGAGCCATCCATTAGACTCCCTCTGCCCAAAGAAGGAAACATTACCTGCTTCTTGCACGTACGCGCGCGCGCACACACACACACACACACACACCACACCACCCCACCCCACATGCTAAGCTTGAGCCCACTGGGGCAGCCAGTGTGTCAAAGGTCATATCATCAAAGGTCTCCCCCTTTTCTCTAGCTCTCTACCAAGCATGATGTCTTTCTCCAGGGACTGGCCTCTCCCGGGAACGTGTCTGAAGTATGTGAGATGAAGCCTCAGTATCCTCGCTTCTAAGGAGCGTGCTGGTGGTGCTTCCTCTACGACAGATTTGTTTGTGCGTCTGACAGTCCGTAGTACTTCCGACGTTCTTCACCGAGATTGAGGTCAAAGGCATCAATTCCTCTGCAGCCTACCTTACTCACTGTCCAGCGTTCACATGTACACGAGGTGGTTGAAAAGACGCTGGCTGGGGTCAGACATACCCTAGTCCTCAGAGTGACATTTTAGCTCTTTCATACTTTGCATAGGTCTTGGCACCAGATTTGCCAAAGGTGTTGTTTGATTTCCTGAGTGCTGCTTCCATGGGTATTGGCTGATTGTGGATCCAAGTGAAGTGAAATCCTCGCCAACTTCAACCTCTCCCTGTTTATCATGGTGTTGTCTACCTGTCCCATTGTGAAGGTATTTGTTTTCTTTACAATAAGGTGTCATCCATATTACAAAGTGTTTTCTCTGATCATCGGTAAGCCCCTCAAGTCCTCTTGACTCTCAGCTAGCAAGGCAGGCTGTGCCGTCGGCCTCTCACAGGTGTTAACAATTGCCTTCCTCCATTCCTGACGCCATGTTCTTCTTCATATCTTCCAGCTTCTTGGACGGTTTGTTCAGCATCCAGATTCAATAAGTATCATGAAAGGATACAACCCTGATGCGCAGCTTTACTGACTTTAAATCACACACGATCCCTTATTCTGTTTGAGCCACTGCCTCTTGGTCTGTTTACAGGTTCCTCATGAGCACAATTGAGTGTTCTGGAATCTCCATTTGTGGCAAGTAGATTCTACATCATCTTGAATTTGTATGAAAGGGTAGGGGAGGAATCTCACCTGTCAGTTAGGTCTCAGCCTGATGATGCCAACTGGGGTGTGTGGCCTTTTTATAAGGGAGACCCTGGGTACCTCTCCCTCTTTCTCTGCACTACTGCAACAACTCTTTCCCCTTCACCTGTGGTAACCATTGGTCAGGTGTGTTTTTTCCCCCCTAGTTTTCTTGATATAGTATTTACATATCATATACTTCCATTGGTTAAGTCGATTTTAAAATGAGTTGTATAATCACAATCAGTTCTAGTGCTCCCCCACCTTTATTGTTTGCTCCCCAAATCCCCTCACCCTTCTTGTCTCCCCCTCCCCAAACATCCCCTGTAAACCCTGCATCCATTATTATCTCTATGCACATACTCCTTCCGTGGTTCACAAGCTGGGAAGCCCAACAAAAACAATAAAAAACAAAAACAAGATACAGTGGTATGGATAAAATAATAATAATATAAAGATAAAAATCCAAATAATGATTAAGAAAGAAAAGACCACCATCGATGTTTAAAAAGCCAGGGAAGACATTTTTGTCATGGAACAAGCAAGAAACACAGGTTGGGTCAAGAGGGAGGTCCACCGACCAAGTAAATGCTTACTTCTTGATACAGAGTTCTTTCTTGTACATAATAGAGGCGCGTCACTGAATCTGTGTGTTAGGCAACCCGGCCTAACATGCCAGTCTTTGCAACATTGGCCACAGTTCATTACGACCTACACAACTGAATGCTTCTGCATAGTAAATGAGCACCCTGCTGCTATTTGAAAGACTGGAGGCAGAGCTTCCAGCATTACAGCAACATGCAGCCCACACAGTGTGACAAACTGTGGAGTGGTGGCATAGGGATGTCGCAGCAAACAAGCATGTGCCCTCCTAATGAAGCCTGCACATAAGCTGGATAGGACAGTAGCTGCCAGATTGCTATATAATCTGCCCCTCTTCCTCCTAGGGGTACAAGCTCCTTGGTCTTACCCAGGCCTGCAGGTGGTTGACTGGAGGCAATGTGCTGTGAGGACGATGCGCATCAGCACAAGCCATGCAGCTCAGGGCTCAGTGACTGGTGGCTATGGGGATGGCATGTTTGTTCCTGTCATCAGCTGCCACCACCATGCTGCAAGTGGCACCACTCCCTTTGGGGAGCAGGGTGCAGTCTTGAAATCAAGTAGCCTGAGCCACCTAGGTCCAAGCCCTCAGGGAGAAGGATGAGAGAGACTATTCAAGAGCCCCCAATAAAGTATAGAGTGATTTGCATTTGCAGGGTAGTCAATGTTGTACTTTGAAAACTTCTGTATAAATCTTGGAATATTAACATACAGGTAGTCCCCAATTTACAAGGCATTCAAGTTATGGCTTGAACCAAACGTATGATTGTTCTTTTGTTTTTTGTACAGCATTAGAAATATGCACTCCATATAGTGTTGCAGTGTGCAATTTGCTGGTGTTATTCTCAGGTATAATCTTTCTTAGCCTCAAAGACACGTTCAAACCAGAGTTATCAAAATACTGACAATAAAAAGCATATATAATAATGAAAGCTCAAAAAAAAAGGAGGGATTCACCTTCAAGGCAGCACTGACTTAGGACAGCGAGATCAGAACGTGGCCCAGTCCTAAATCGGGGACTTCCTGTATTCTATCTCTACCCACTCTGCCTCCTTTTGCTCTTTATTCCTCCTCCCTTATCCTCTGAAGTGGACACACCCTGTTTGTCGCACAAGGAGAAAACCCGCTGCTAATTCTCCGAGGGAGGCTCGCTAGGAGTCGGCATGGACTCGATAGCAGGGAGTTTGGGTTTTGGTTTAACTCTATGTCTTCATGAACTCTCCTCATGGCCCAGGGATCTCGCTGTGTTTAACTTAGCCTCATGCCTCCGATGGAAAAGCCATCTCCGCTCTCCCGTCAGACGGCATGACAGGTCGAGTTGATTCCGCCATGGCTGCAGGAATGACATGTCTCCCTGACTGCACTCGAGAATGGGGCATATTCTACAGCTAGGCCAATGGAAGCAAATGGGACTCCATTTCCGGGTTGATTGAGTCGACAGGAAAGAAAGTTGCCTCTTGTCCGGCCTGATGAGAGCAAGGAGTGGAAGCCACAGGGCTAGCCTGAGGACAGTGTGGGCCTGTGAAGGAAGCCAGCTCACCCGCAGGTGGCGAAGCTGCACCAGCAGCCAGCCAGTCCCTGGCCTCCTCAGTTGGGTGAGAAGCTGCCTTCTCCTGGTGCTTTAAGCTGGTTTAGCAGTTTATCCTTGAGACAGTCCTTTCCCAGTGCACAAGAGCCGGCCCATTTACACCTCCACAGCCTTTTCTGCTTTATCTCTTCATGCTGGGCTGAGATATGGGCTTCCCCTCCTTAGGGCTTGCTCACAGCAGAATGGTTATCTCCTCTCAGAGAACACACTGCTAGCTGGCTTGAATGGTTTCACTCATCTACTGTCGATCTAGGATTTTAACTCTTTTGGCAGCAGGGTATCTTTGTCATAAAAGCTGGTAGCTGGATGCTAGAAGGCCAGCCCTGAGCTGTCCCCTGTCCTACCACACAAATGTACACAAAGATGCAGAGAGACCCAGACCTTAGACATCTTAAACACTGCCTTCTATTTTTCAGTATTGATCCATCCAAAAGAAGCTAGCAATATGCTTATGACTCAAATCCGACTAATATTTCAATCGGTCAAAACCCAGCAAGCTAAAAAACAGATCAGAATGGAAGCTAATGAAAACATACAGACTCACCAATCAAGGACCAAATAGGATTGTCTTCCTCTTCAATACTGGAAAATTGACCTATAAGATTGGCTTCCACCTCAGCATTTAAAGTGGACAGACCTCTCTCCTCCAGGGTCTTGTTAACTTCAGCGCAGGTCTGAACACCAATGGAATTCAGGACTTCCTTCAAGTTGAATGTCCTGCAAGACATATCACACAATCCAGTCATGGATGGTTTGAGTTCTTTAGGGTCGTGTTTTCTGTTTTTTTTTACACATACCAACTTATTTTCTTAAACAATTACCTCTATGAGAAAGAATTAGAAACAATTATCTCCTCACAGTCACCGTCCCTTCTTTGTAGCAGATTTTTAAATGCGGGCATACTCAATTGTGTAAGGCCTGCATTAAATGGAAAAACAGGCGGGAAAATGTGGCCCTTCAAGGTAATAAGTTTGCACGACAAAATAATTTATAAATGATTAGGGGTTCATGAGGGAGGGGGACCAGCGAGGGAGGGGAAAACATGAGGAGCTGATACCAAGGGCTCAAGCAGAAAGCAAATGTTTTGAGAATGATGATGGCAACAAATGTACAAATGTGCTTGACACAATGGATGGATGGATGGATGGATTGTGATAAGAGTTGTGATACGAGCCCCCAATGATATTTAAAAAAGTAATATATTTGCAAAACAATAAAATAAAATAAACAATAAGCTTGCCACTCTGGATTTACACAGGCAGGGCTGTAAGAAAGGGAACAACAGTACTGGGACCCTGGTGGTGCAGGGGTTACAAAGTGGGCTGCTGACCACAAGGTCAGTAGTTTGATACCACCAGCCGCTCCACAGGACAAAGATGGGGCTTTCCACTCTGGTAAAGAGTCAGTCTTGCAAACCCACAGGGGCAGTTCTGTCATATCCTATTAGGTCACTTAGTCTGAGTTAGAATCCACTTGATGGCAGTAAGTTTGGTTTTTTTGGTTTATTTACTTGGCAAAAGATATCCCTTGGTCTGAGTATAAGCACACACACACACATATATATTTTTTTCATCTAAAAATGGAGTAAGAATCAATTCATTTATCCATGTTTGTGCAACAGATTTATAACAGTGATCAAAAGCAAGACAGGAAGATATTAGGAAGACAATACCACCACGACAAATGACCAGAGTTTGTCACTGATCATGATCAAAGATAAAAGATTTTCATGACTGCCAAGTAACTGATGAATAATCTCAAATATTTACAGTCCAAAGGATCATTTAATAAGGAAAAAGAAGCCATTGGAATGGGTATTTGTTGGGTCCCTACTACAGTCAGTCCTGGGGTTAAGCTATCTGACTAGCAGACAACTCCTTAAACTCACTGCCAGTATCAACCCTATAAGGCAGAGTAAAACCATCCCATGGGTTTTCTGAGGCTTTAAATCTTTATCTTTAGATCTAAATCTCTGCAGCCTGCAGGATGGATAACTCAATGTAAAAAAGACAGAAGTCCTCACAACTGGACCAATAGGTAACATCATGATAAATGGAGAAAAAGCTGAAGTTGTCGAAGATTTTTTGTCTTGCTTGGATCCACAGTCAATGCTCATGAAAAAAGCAGTCAAGAACTCAAAAGTCGTGTTACATTAGGTCAATCTGCTGCACCAGTCCTCTTTAGAGTATTGTAAAGCAAGAATTGCTTCAAATGCATGTGACAGTTGGACACTGAATTAAGAAAACCGAAAAAGAATCAATGCATTTGACTTGTGGTGCTGGAGAAGAATAATGAGAAGTACCATGGACTTCTAAAAGGACAAACCATCTGTCTTGGAAGAAACACAGCCAGGGTGCTCCTTAGAGGCAAGGATGGTAAGGTTTCCTCTTACATACTTTGTACAAGTTGTCAGAAGAGACCAGTCCCTGGAGAAGGGCATCATGTTTGGGGACGTGGAGAGCGATGAAAAAGAGGAAGGCCCTCAAGGAGATGAACGGACACAGTGGCTGCAACAATGGGCTCAGGCACAGGAACTATTGTGAGGATGCCACAGGACCGGGCAGTGTCTTGTTCAGTTGTGTGTAAGGTCACTATGGGTCAGCACAACTGACTCCATGTCATCTAAAAACAACAACAAATCCGTAAGGGAGCAGAGCCTTAGCTTGCTTCTGCATGGCTGGTGCGTTCAAACCCTTGACCTTCTGGTTAGCAGCTCAGCACATGGTCAACTATTAGCAGTAGGTGGTTTTTAGTTCAACACAATTGACACAACCCCTGCTGGCATCAATTCTGCATCATAATCATCTTCACTTGCTGCATATGCAGCTTTTAATCAATGAAAAGGCTCAAATCTCTCCTACTAAAGTAAAGATAAGAACTGACTTGCCTACTCTCTGAGCACTCACCTACAAATTCAACTTACAGACATGTGCAGGCATGGGTCTCATTTGTAACCCTTGGATACATGCATGCATTGTGGAACGATTGATGGGAAATTGTGATCTTGGGACCCAGAAAGGGTCTTTCAGAAAATTCTGCACAAGATGGGAAGTAGAGGATGCGAGAATGGCCCAATTAGAGGGGGCTGTGCAATGGCGTGAGTTCAAATCCTGACTCTAGTCGATGCCATAACTTGCTATAGGATCATTATCACCTCTGAGCAGGTTGCTAGGGAGATCGTGAACCTCGATGAGAAGAGGGAGAGAATGATTTCTCACTATTACCATTAACAACAAGCACAATAAACACACCCCGGTGTTCTGGCTGGACTGGGACTCATCACACAACCACACGGACCTTCCTCCTTTGGGGCTCTGCAACCCAAGGGGAGACCTATTTGTGGCAAAAATGTCACGTCCCGACTTTTTACCCACGACAACGTCCTACTCTAGCTCCCGCCTGCTTTTAATCACTGAGTGCAGGGAGGGTGCTGTGGAACACATTAGCTAACACAAAGCTGTCACTGGACTTGGACAGCATCTCCGAAGGACAGAAATGTCACCATTTCTGAAGACTTGATAGCATTTCGCTGATGACAAGGGATGGCGCCGGAGCCATCACGGTGGGACAGCGTTCTGTGACCAGCCATTCTAAACACTGAGGGCGGTGGGATTTTCAGTTCAGCTTGTTTTAGTTTTGAGTGAAGTGGATCGTCTTGGGTTCCACTTGCTTTGGTCTTGAGAGTGCTGTCAAAGGGCTCTTGCTCACCCCCATTATAGTGGAAACCCCACACTTGCCCTGGCACCCGTCATGCAGAGACTTTTGCACAAGAACATCAAAGCCAGGAGGAGAGTTCAATAAGAAGTTCTAGCAAAAGAAGATGGAAGAGAAGCGAAAACGCAATCCTGACTATCACACCCAGACACCTGAAGTTATTCATGTTCCATGAAACATACGAGGTGCCTTCATAAGCAGACAGACAGGAACACGGGGACTTACGCTTTGTTCATGTCTTCAAGTAAAACAGTTGAAATCCTTTTCAAATTGTTTGCAAGCTCAGGTAGACCTTCTGTCACAGCACCCACCATGTTGTTGGTGATTAAAGACAGGCAGGCGACCATCTTCAGTTGATTCAGCTTCTCTGTCAGTTCCTGAAGACGCACTCCATCTGTCATGAGTGTCTAGCAGATTTATTTAACATGTAAAAGCAGAAAAAGGCAGCTCAATACTGTGAACATGTCAGATAAGGTGTCAAATCCCAAAGGCCCAGTTTTATATCACTTCAGTGAAGCCCTTAAGACAAGAGTCAACACACACCCTCCGGCTGATGCCCGGTTGGAACATTATGAATTAAAATATTGGAAAATGTGGGGGAAAGCAAAACAGCATCACTTACCTCTGGTAACTCTTTCTTTTGGTAATCCCACTGTAACAGTTTCAAGAAACTGTTATTTAGCACCAAGGTCGGGCTCAGGCTGGGCTTGGAGGTGCCTTCAGCTCCAGGAGTTAAAGTGGCCTCAGAAAGAGAAAGCAATTCTTCATCTACAGATCCCTTTATCCATTCTGTAGTTTGATCAAGAGCACCTAAAAGGGAAATGTCCACATGTTGACCCTACCCGATCCTCAACTGTCCACTCAACATGACTGATGCTACGGGAGGTGCTGGGCGCACACAAAGACAAAGCCATGCCCTCGGACCATCATGCTTGGCGAAGGGGACAAGCTGGACTGGCACAGTGGCTGCAGCAATGGCTCAGGCATGGGAACAAGTGTGGAGATGGCACAGGACCGGGCGGTGTTTGGTTCTGTTGTGCAAAGGGTCGTTATGGGTCAGAACTGACTCGATGGCACCTTAACTAATGTGAAGACGAGCCTCTATACCAGCGGTTCTCAACCTGTGGGTCTCAACTCCTTTGGGGGTCGAACAACCCTTTCACAGGGGTTGCCCAATTCATAATGGTAGCAAAATTACAGTGATGAAGTAGTAATGAAAATTATCTTATGGCTGGGGGGTCACCACAACATGAGGAACTGTATTAACGGGTCACGGCAGTAGGAAGGTTGAGAATCACTGCTCTAAACTAACAATTACAACAGAATAATGTAAAATCCCTGACATCAGGGTTGTATCTTGTCACCATACCTTACTCAATCTGTATGCTAAACAAATAATCTGAGAAGCTGGACTCCGTGAAGAAGAATGTGCCACCAGGATTGGAAGGGGGTCTCATTGATAACCTGAAATATGCAAATGACCTTGCTTCCTGACGCGTGTAGTGAGCAAGGTAAATGACAACAGCCTTCAATATTGATTACACCTCAATTTAAAGAAAACAAAAAGCCTCCCAACTGGACCGATAAGCAACATCACGATAAATGGAGAAAAGGTGGCAGTTGGCAAGTGTTTCATTTACTCAGCTCTACAATCAGTGCCCATGAAAGCAGCAGTCCAGAAATCAAATGGCATGTTGCATCAGGCAGATCTGCTTCAAAAGACTTCTTGAAAATGTTCAAGAACAAAGATGGCACTTTGAGGGATAAGGTGTGCCTGATCCAAGCCATTGGTATTTTCAATCACTCCGTTTGAAGCAAAGCAGGGCAACAGATAAGGAAGACTGAAGAAGAATTGATGCACTTGAATCATGACGTTGGTGAAGAATACCGAATAGACCGTGGGCTGCCAGAAGAATAAACACGTCTGTTCTGGAAGAAGTACAGCCAGAATGCTCCTTAAAAGTAAGTAAGGCAAGACTCTGTCTCATGTGCTTTGGACATGGTATCAGAAGGACCAGTCCCTGGAAAAGGATATCATGCTTGGTGCAGTAGAGGGTCACAGACAAAGAGGAAGACCCTTAGGGAAATGGACTGACACACTGGCTGCAACCACAAGGTCCAACTATTGTCAAGATGGTGCAGGATCCGGCCATGGTTTCCTGTAAGTGGGGTTGCTAGGATTAAGGACCGACTCAAGGGCACCTAACAGCAACAACGACACAGAGAATTCCAGAAGGCATGTTGGGGGTGGAGGGAGCAGAGGTAGTCTGGGGTGGAGGGAGCAGAGGTAGTCTGTAAGAGGTGCTTATAGGTGGAATGCAGACTGGGAAAGGGCTGACACTCCCCACAAGGAGATTAGGCCCTACAAAGGCCTGGCAAAGGGAGCGGATGTGGCACATTCTGAATGCCCCAGCAACTGTCTCGCTTGTCTATACATAACTGGGAGAAACAGAGTAAGTTGCAGATGGCACTGAGTGAGACAGGTGGCAGCTCGTCAAAGACTTTGTGTTTCGGGGAGGGAAGGTTATTTAGACCACAGGCACTGAGTAGGAAACGTTCTTGTCTATACATAACTGGGAGAAACAGAGTAAGTTGCAGATGGCACTGAGTGAGACAGGTGGCAGCTCGTCAAAGACTTTGTGTTTCGGGGAGGGAAGGTTATTTAGACCACAGGCACTGAGTAGGAAACGTTCTTTGGGGCGGGTCTTCTCTGGGTGTGTGATTTGAACTAGGCCTTTCCCAAGATGCATGTGCATGCTCCCAGGGAACATACAACACATCCCATTGAGGGATCCCAGGTTATACACACCAGCTATGGGGACAGGGAGCCTTTGAATCCTGTATTTTCCTACCCCACCCCACCTGAAAGTGAGATAATCATAGAATGTTAGGGAGAAAATCATTCAGAAAGGAGGATTGGATTAGTGGTAAGTTACCACAGTAGTTCAGATGAGCAAGCCAATGAATGAGGCTCAGGGAAGTGGGGGAAGACGGAGAGATCAAACTGGATCTATTCAGGCAGAATCTCCACAAGTCTTGGTAAACCACCTTCATCTAAGGAGGAAGACAGGATTCTAGGATGACTCCCTTGTGCAGTTAGTTCACTGAGTGGTGGTGCCACCTAACGAGGTCAGGGATATAGGCCAAGAGGGGTCCTGAAACCAACCCCTCCCTACATGAACTGCAGTCACCTCCAGCCTCAAATAGTCCAATCCAACAAATACACCCAAATCAAGTCCACAGACTAAGTTCTATGGCTTCCAACTAGAAAAAAGCTGCTTTCTGTGCCACATTTCCTATCAAATCATGGATGTGGCAGAAGAGACAAGGTGGCGCAAACCAAACCCACTGCCATTGAGTAGATGCTGCCTCAAAGCGACCCTCGAAGACAGGGTTCAACTGCCACAGTCAGTTTCCGAGACTGTAACTGTCTTTCTCCTTCAGATCGGCAGGTGGTTTTGAACTGCTCACCTTGAAGTTAGCAACCCAATTTGTAACCACTACACCACAAGGGCTCCTATACAAGGGGGCAACTGCCAAGAAATGCAGACTGCATACAGGTTTGTTTTGTTTTGTTTTGTTTTTTAAGAGCCAGAGAGAAAGAGAAAGAAGAAGTAACCCTGCAATAGCTTCCCTGGCCCAGCAGCGCTTGGATGAGGGTGGTTGCATTAAAGTACTCCCTAGACTTTCCCAACGCTTGCTTGGCCTCAGTTGGCAAGCGTTCTTCCTTCGCTAGTGCTGTTTTCAGGATGTTAAAGACTGGCAGTCTTTTATTTAATAGACATCCAACAGAGAGGGAGGGAGAAGAAATCATCATGGATACAATGTGGCTGTCATAAGCATGTATACTGCAAGCTTAATCCTTTACAGCTGACACAATGAAAAGCCCACTGAACTATCGCTGAGTGAGAGCCACTGTGGTTCTCTGTGCTGGCTGAGTTCAGAATCACCTAGGCACTTTTCAACGGAGAATGACATACATAGTCCTGGCCCTGCTCCTGAAACTCCTGATGTACAGTAGTCAGCACCGCCGCTTCAGCAGCCCGGGGCAAATCGAATGCGTAGTCAGAAATGAATACTGCTAGGAAGGTGGAAGGCGCAAGAGCAGGGAGTGCACCAGGGTTTTTTAGGGGATCTACGGAGATTTCACACCCACCAGCTAGTACACTTGCTGTTCGACGTGCTTCCAATGGCCAAGCGGACCCCACAAGGCACTGATAGCTAGGTCTTTGCTGAGGACAGGCTTCGGTCAGCACTGAGTACTGAACACCTGCCGGTGTCAGGGACTGTTACCACGTGCTAGGGTTTCACAGATGAAAACCAGGCCTTTGAGCCATTTTTCCCTAGTTCAGTCCCAGCTGATGAGGTGAAACGGACAGGTAGCCAAATTTATAAAAGGTGGGCGAACTGGGATGATAACAGGAACGGGGGGAATGAGGGCCTGGCTGATACCCTTCTAGAAATAGAATCTCCCTCATAGAAAACCAGAGCAGTGCACATGTTGCTTGGTGGCCACATCTCTTGACCAACACCATCAGAAACATCACTGCCCGGCTCAAGGACAGTGGCTGGCTGAGCGCTCTCCAAGGTCCCCGCCACAGTCAGCCCGCCAGCTTGAAGCTCCTGAGAGGGCGTGCTGCCCTTTTGAGTCGCCTGCTCCAGAGCTCTGACTGGTAACTTTCCCCAGCTGGGGATTGTACAACTTCACTTAAATTTTTATGAACCCTGTTCTGTTCTGATTTAGCTGTGCTAGCCAAGACTGAACTGGCTTGAACTTGTCTGAAACCCCAGAGGAAATCCAGGCGCCTGAACTCAAGAAGGTCCTAGTCTAGTAAGGGAGTGAGAGAAAACGGCAAGCAGTGCATTATCATGTGAGGGCTGCAGGGACCTCAGAATCTCCCAGGAGCAGTGGAGGCCATGGGTGCTGACTCTGGATTCTTATCCGGCTGGGCTGAGGGCCTAGGGAACTACCTCTGCTTCCGTAAATCCAAATCCTGCCAGTCTTCATGGTCCAGCCCAAAGCCCTCCTGCTCTCGAAAATCTTCCCTGATTTCATGGGGCCCATCCTGATCCCTCCATCCTTGGACCACTCATCTTTCTAATTTTTTTCTGAAAAAAATTGTTTTCCTGAAAAACACCCCTGTCACCTTTTATATTGTCCTTAAACATCTCAGTTGGCTTCATCATATTTTTCTCTCACTTTCCAGACTGCTGGGAAGAGGCCAAAGCATAACCTTGATGTTTTACATCGCTTTCCCTTGACTTTAGCATAGAACAACTTGGCAGCCATGTGAAATGTATGGCTGAGGCTTGGCAGAAGTATTTTGCTTTCGAGTTTAATCAAATGTCTTTCCCACTGCCCCAAGGGACCCTGTCATATAGGAGGTGTCCCATGGTCTTGGCTTTCTTTCCCTGGCTCTCCTATTCTAGTGGGAGAGACGTGGCAAGGGCACAGAGTAGAAGCCATGAGAGAGGGCAGCCTGATCTTTCCCCCAGTTTTAAGGGGGAGAATGTAAAATGTCTGACAATTACATATGATGTTAGCTGGCGGTTTCTCAAAGAGGTGGCTTATGGGGTTGAAGACGTTTCCTTCCACTTCTAATTTGATATAATCTTTTATCACATAAAATTCGGTCTTGAATTTGACCAATTGTTTTCTCTGCATCGTCTAGTGGGTTTCTCTTTTATTCTGTGAATGTGACGAAGTACACTGCTATCAAACATTAAGCCAACCTTGCAATCCTAGGTTACACTCCACTTGGTTGTGGTGTATTTATCTTATTGAGCTGCTAGTACTTGGTGAGGAATTT